TACGGGGTTTACTGCTCGGAGAGAAGAGAAAGAGAGGGGGCGGCGGAAAAGGCGAAAGAGGGCGGAATGCCCCTTTACAAACGTTGCATCTGACTAAAATAGCAGAGAAGCTCGTAAATCGGAAATTGGACAGAGAGGAAGACAGTGGTTCTTGCAACGCCAAGGTAGGAAGCTATTCCCTTTGTTACTCCTCTAGCCAACGTGCACTCGGGTCTGTGATACCCGCGATGTGTGCGTTATTTGTATCATATCTTCTCTAATCCTGCATCCCACACTGTGCTCTGCTGAATATGCACTAAATCCAGCAGCATGTGTCTGTTTTCCATAAATATTTAATGTATATAATTTGTGCATCACCCTGGCTCTTATATATTGCATTCTCCCGATGGTACGTGTATGTTTCGAGCATATAATGGTATGCATGTTTTGTGGACGCAGTCTAGAAGGCTATAATAGGTTTGGAAAGCAGATAACCGGCTCGTCTCCTCATTACAAGTGTATCATTGGCGGCGATCCTCGCTGATGATGACGATTTAACTTTTTTCCCACGCAAACGCTACGAAATATAAGACGAACAGACAGCGGAGTGCGCGCACGAGCACACAGAAAACACAGAAGACAGGTTGAGGTGCGTAAGACGTGCGTAATTCCCCCTCCACCCCACCCGACTCCCCAGTACCATCAAAGGCACAGTTGCTCTGGCTTCCCACTACAAAGAACATATTCATGCAAATGGTAAACAAAACAAAGCAAAACAAAAAAACCTACTGAGACACACTGACTCACCACTGTGACATAGTGCTAGGTGAAAAATGAAGTGGGGACTGCCCGTGTGTGTGTGTGTGATTACACTCCCTGTCTGTAAATAGGTCCCCACTCTGCAGCTCCACTGGCTGTGCAAGAGGCAGAAACAGCAGCACTGATATCCCAGGATTTCTGGCTGGCCACTTGCTCTCTATTTCCTGTCCCATGTTATAGATAATTTAGACTCTTGCAACTCCAACAGGCCCAGAGTGGTGGAAAGGTGTGAAAGCCTGAACAGCAACCTTTGTTATGTGTGAATGTGAGATAGAAATAGGTGGCGATAAAAGGAGAGAGTGTCAGCATGAATGTGAGCGGGTGTTTGATTGCATGTTTATAGAAATATATGGCCTTAAACAGATATTAAGGTTCACTCTCTTCCACCTCATGTTATTTATTCGTTGAAAGGGTGTCCAGGAGCTTTTATAGGAGAGGCTAAATTGGAACAACCTCGAGGCTGAGGCTCAGCAAAGCTATTACCTCTAGTCAATAGACATTAATATCCCCACGCTCAATCTTGGCCTCAAACGGCGCCGTCTCCGTCTTGGCGAAACACAGCACTGCTCCACTGGAGTAACCAAAAAGATGTATTGTAGTCCCCCTATCTATTTAGGCCATACTTCAGTCTGCCATAGTTGAATGAGCAGAAAGTTGCAACGATAGCATCGTCACAGGCAGACGTAGCTGGGGCCTCAAAAGGAAGTGATGCAAAACAAAAAAGGAGAATATGCCGGCACCAGTGGAGAGAGGTCATGACCTCTATGTTTCAAGGAGAGTCCTGATGAATGGCTCTGAGATTACATCGATTTGAGATGGTACACAAACTGATATGGCCCAGCAGGGTACAGCAGGGGCAGATAGCATCAGAGCTGAATGGGTCACAGGGCCAAGTTGCCAGTCTGTGGAGTACAGCAGGCTGGAAGTTATATGTTTTCGAGGGGAACACAGTTGATGGGAACACAGCTATAAAGGCACAGACATGGGAAGTGTTAGATTTGCTTAAACATTTAAGAAAACGTTAAGAAAATGTAATGACTTTAAAAGAAAGAACAACAACAAAAGCATTCAGAGCAAGAATTAGAGGTTCAATTAAAGAAGACTTCCAGGTACAGATGAAAACAAAAGACAGAGTTAGAAAGCAGGTTCAGTGAGATCTGCCTGAAACATCCTATTAGGTATATCCAATGGATTAGTCTTTTTTGCCCACAGAAGCATTATGTTCTAACGCAGTAAGTTCAATTTCACAATTATGAAGGGTTTCACTTTCTCCCTATCAAAATAGTCAGACCTGTTAGCAATCAACAGTGTTCCTATTAGTCCATGGCCCCTGAAAGATATCCCAAAAATTGAATAAACCTCATGTACTATATTGTCTGATGAACTGTAAAATTAAAATCAGGAAAACCTCCAAGTAACATTGCTAGTACTGTTTCCATTGCTACAGCTCATAATACTGATCCTCTGAGCCAGAAAAACTAAAACTGTAACGAACTCAGATGTGATGTATTTTATTCAATATAAAGACAAAGCTATAATTTGTCTAGAAAATGAAATGCCAAATGACGATACGAGGTTGCAATAGATCACAGATTCGTGGTAAGCATCTTCTACTTCTCATTCAGCAGGCAGCAGCGTTTTCAAATACCTTATCACTGTAATTCCCAAACCCAGCTGAGGTGTGTGATTCATCCCTCAGAGACAGATTCCACATACAGATTTCAGATTTCAGGTGCGCTGTCGAACATGATCCTTGCTGCTGAAAAACCCACCCGCTGGGTTTTATCAGATTCACATTTGCCCCTACTCAGTGATTTGTGTTGTTCGTGCCTGTTTTCGGTGGAATTTTGAATCAAGGGAGAACACCACTGGAATTCTTGTGTGAGGAGTGCAGAGACAAGAGAGAGAGAGAAAGAGAGAGAGATCCAATACAGCTACTTAAAAATAGTTAACACAATATTTGATATTGGATAAATATTTATTGGTGTAAGCCCCAGCAATAAGAAACAGGACTACTGTTTTTTCTTTTTTCTGCACATTCTGGATGCATTTTCTCCCTCTAATTTGTATTGGATTTTCTATTTTTAGCTTGTCTGCACCTGAGGGTGACTCCAAATCTGTCCTTCCTATACAAATACAAAAGCGATCCCTTCATTATAAGGGGATACAAACATAAATGCCTCACCTGCTTCATTGCCTTTAAGCTAGAATGAGGATGGAACAGCTCAAATGAGCCATGAAAAATGAGATATTTAAGTGATGCACTTATCCTGATTAACAGGAGGGGCCAGCCAGGGGCTCAGTTTCTTGCACAAGGACACAAGTACAGGGTTGAACCTGATATTTTAGGTGACTGGTGCAAGAGGCATTATTTTTTTCTCCAGATTTAGCTTATGATCAGACTGGCTAGCTTCTTTCATTACCGGGCACTGACTTCTTCCCTTTTCCTCTTCTTTCCATCATGTGATTAGACAGGACCTGCCTAGACTCCATTCCTCGTAGTGTGATTAGCCTAGGACCTTGCGTGCCGTCCTGTCTCCTCTGCCGAATCGGGCAGTGACCTAACTGGTCGGCTGGTTTATACTGAGCCAAATGGCTTCTCTGAGAGTATTGATCCCAGGCACAACAGCAGTCAATGGAGCGTCTGTGGGAGGTTTAGTGTTGCTCTGTACGCTACAGTAAGAATGTACATTTCAGGGCATGATGCAGTCTAAGCGGACTGACTCGTCAACTTGTTTCTGACTGCACATTTATTTGTGAAAAATCAGCCTCTGCAAACATTTGGCTTGAAATTAAAATAGCATCCTAAATCCTTTGATTACCATTGTTGCTGTGTCACTGTTGCTGCTAGCTTCCTCTGCTTCTTTTCTGGCCTTCTCTGCTCCATTTTTCCCTCCTTCTTTATCTGTCTCGCCTCAACTTCAATGTGAGCATCTCTTTTCTGCTCCTCTTCTCCGTCTCCTTCTTTCTCCATCTCTTGCTACACACTCATTCCTTCTGTCTCCTCCATTTCTTTTGCACCTCTCCTTTCCTCCTTATGCTCTCACTGGCATTTGACGCGGCCGGTTTTGTGCCAGACAGCCATTTCTTAGATTGAGATATCCTGGTTTTAAAGTCACTCAGACAGATTTACTATCTTAATGGCATAGAATGGGAGGGGGGTGGGGGTGTCCTAAAAGGAGGCCGTTGTAGGATGTTGGTTTGGATGGAATTCTGATTCTCTAATTCTGGATCTCTTTCTGACATCGGCTGTGCTGAGATGGACAGATAAATAGACTGTATTATCTGACTTTCCTTCAGACTGACAGACTATCCTAATGTGACAATCAGCTACTCAAAAGAGACAGAGACAGAGGACAAACCAGTCAGGGGAGTGTGTTCTGTCTTCAAGAGGAGAGACAGAAAACTAAAAAGGGAGTGGATGCTTTTCTTGTTTCAGATCTTGTTTGGAGTGAAATATGTCTTTTCTTAATGCGGTGACTGATTGATGGCTGGTAGAGAGATGGACACATAGGAACCACTTTGCTAGGGAGGTGCCACTCAGTGCACAGAGACTGACACTGACATTTCACAGGACAATGCACATCAGATGATCAATAGTCCTTCCTCTGTCTGACGAGGCACCTTGCTTGGGAAATAGGACTGCTTCTTCACAAGGACAAGGCGTCTCTGCGCAGGAGTGAGCCGACCTCTCGCCACGAATGTTGTTTTGCCAGTGATTTATTTTCCAACCAGGCCACCGTTTTGTTCAAGATTCTTCAGCAAGACATTTTCAATGCCAGTGCTTTTGCAACAAATCAGTATTATTAGATGGATTTTTGCATGTTCTCCTCAGTTTAAGTCCCTTGAGACTCACAGACCAAGAGAAACTGAGATTCAAGCATTGACCTGTTTTTATTTAGACAGAATGAGTTCAAAAATAAAGACAGTATAATAAAGAAGTCTAGTTTCTCTTGGTTGGAAGGACAAGGAGCACACACAAAGCAGTCAGACTTTATACCTCCATCTGATGTTTTATAAGATTTCTTTAACCTTCAAAACGTTCATCTTTATTGGTGTCCTTGCTGTCTGTGCTGCACTTGTCTATATGCACCAGACTGATTGATTGATTCTTAATATTTTTCAGGTGATGTTGGAGAACTTCAAGAAGGAGTCTGCACCAATCTGACAGTGACTTCCAATCCATGCTGGTGTGTTGGAGAGACCACAGAAATCAATGTGTTCCACTAATTCCTGTTGGAGCGAGATGACTAAGAGCTCAACACATTTCACAAAATGCAGAGAAGGAAAAAAGAGAATCTGCTTGTCTGCAGGCTCCTGTCTCTAGTCTAGGAAACATTAGGAACATAACAAGTTAAAGGTTATGCATGCACTGCAGGCATAACTCCATATTCCTCAGCCAAACTATCTGCAAAAACAAAAAAGACATTTACATGTAGAGTGTCTCTGCTCTGGCTTGCAAATTCAACATGGCCCAGAACCTCGTGAATCAAGTTCAATAAAGGTAAAACACACAAACCATAGCTTAATGACATTAAAGCTAATGAACAGCTTAAATTTGGATTCATTCTTTCAGTACAATGAATCTATATAGCAAAATATGAAGCTAAATTTGAGATACTTGGTGGTTCTTCCAGCCAAGGGACTTGTGGATTATTTGGATCTTTCAATTCAATTTGAAAGAAAAAAAAACAAACAAACAAAAAATCAACCATTGTAAAGACAAACGAGGCCAGTCACCCTCACTCTCACAACGGTTACTTCAGTATGCAGTATTTGTGTTTTGGAGACTCACACGAACACAGAAAAGAGACTGTAATTATTTAAATTACTCTATAATTACAGTAAAGAGTGTTTTGCTTTGAAATATTACATGAAGTTTCGAAGTAATTGACCCACTGGTCAAACGATCACTGTATCACCAGGAGATTGTCGACAGTAGGTCTTCATACAATTAAGTGACACCATGTTTAGTGAGCACTGAAGCAACTAGCATTATTCAAAAAGAATTAAGCAAAATAAGCTTTACTATGTAAGTGACCAAAATAGTATGTTATTATGACTGCTGAGGGAACTCGATCTGTACAGTGACCCACCTTCTTCCCTCTTCTTCATCATTATTCTTACCTGCAACTTCTCAAAGTAGCAGGTTAATGTACAATATACTCACTTGTAATTCAAATCTAATTTAATTAAGTAATTATTAGGAATATTTTATTTAAACTTGCATTAAGTGATAATTCAATGAAATGACATCTCCGTATTCTGAGGGTTGCTCGTGCTGCCAAACCCACTAAGAATCAACACCTAATTCTCACAGCTCTGAAGCTCTACATAGCTTTTAGCTTCTTTTTAATTCAGTTAGATTCAAAATAAATTTGTTGTACCTCAAATGGCAATTTAAGGCTCATTAGCTCACTGCGTTGTTTCTTCTGGTCATATACAGTATAGACTGTATGGTGCTTTTATTTGTGCAAGAACTTTCTGCTGCTGCCCCTGCTGTATGCAATGAGAACTACAGTTGTGATGTACCCTGCCTGAAACATCGTCCCCTTAATCAAGGAAATCCACAGATCTTGCTATCAACAGTTTTTATAAGGAAATATTTTGTACCAAAAGTAACAATGTAGTACTGCTAGATATGTTTGTAGTGAGAAAATATATTTTTCACATTTTAGATGATGCCATTTACCTAATACCAGTCTTCACAGTGTATGCTAAAACTGTAATATGTAGCACCGGAATTAATGATCTATCAAGAACACAGTGATGGTTTTGGCATTAGTGTTTTCACTTCATGGGTAAAGTGAACAGTCTCCCAGAAACTTGATTTCTACTCCCTTGTGTCCTTACACTCATGCTGCCAGTTTCTCTTCCTTTATCTCTTTCAGGTATAAGTGAGAGGGGCGGGTGTTGATTGGTCATACATGGGCACATCAGTCTGATCTCTGCCATCCAGGCTCTGCCTCTTCCTCTGCCCCTGCCTTTCAGAGTTCATACCTTGTAAAAGGTGGACGGGTCAAAACTCTACTTCCCCGAGCGCCGTCCAATAAGTAAGGGCGGTGAGGACTGCGCTGTCATTGGCTGACTGCAGGTGAGAGTGCGATGCGGATTGGAGGATGTCGGGGGACTGGGATGAAGACCTGTGTAAGAAGGCGTTGGTGTTGGTGGAGGAGCTGTGCTTCAACTCCCCGAGAGGTTACAGCCAGAGTGAACGCTGCCAGGAGTTCAGCTATCTGCTGAGAGGCCGCAACAGACAGCTGGACACAGGTAACTGATGCACCGGCAGCTCTTCATAAATCATTTTGACAATGTCAAGAGTGACTCCTTCAGCAAACCTTTTGTATAAAAGAAGAGTGTGTTCTCAGAGGTTTGAACAGTTTGTAAAATCCCTCAGTGGAACCTGTCTTTCCGAGCCTTCAAACAGCCACCCTTGTAGTTTCAAAGGCTAACCCCCTGTAGACTTGAAAGGTAGTTTAGTACTTAGTAGTTTCCTCCTCCACACACCTTCATTTATGTCAGTCTAAATGTACAGTACTCCAATAATAGCACGCTTTCACAATAGAGGATGCATCAAAAATGTCCACAGACAGTCCTGCAGAATAAACCTCTCCTCTGCTTTGTAACATGGTCTAGACACTTAAGACTTTCACACAACATTACTAAATACACTGAGTGCTACTTTTTTTTTTAAATACTTTCTTCCCAATATGAAAACACCTTAAGTTAGCTTTGATTTTCAATCAAATGTTGCCAAGTAGACCACAGCTGCTGTACTCTGTGAGGGAGGAAACCACGAACTTTACAGACACCTTTCAAACCTACAGAGGCGAAGTCTTTGGCACTAAAAAGATTCTGGGTAATTGCTGTAAGCAGATGATCACCAACTCAAAAAGCATTCTGTTAATACATTCACTGAAGAGTTTTATCATCCCATTACCGTTTGAATAGGGCTTTACATCTAAAATGTTTTGGATGCTTTGTATAATAGAAAAATGTCAGTAGTTGTAGACACGTACAGCAACATGACATAGTTTATGTTCGATTTTAAGGTTTGAGTAGACATGTTAAGTGGAGTGCTCATGTTTAAAGATGGTTAGAGGTACTGTGCACTCAAAGCAACAAACCATGAAATATTCATCTGCTAGTTTGAAATGACTACAGTACAAGTCCATCTCGTTTCTTTTACGAGACCCCGAAGAGCCTCAGTAGAATTCTGCAATTGTTATCTCAGAGCTGTTTTTCTAACCAAACTGAGTAGGTGCATCGTGATGCACTGTGGCGTTTATTGTGTGCAGAAGATTGTGTGTGGCTTCTCAGTGAAGCATTTGGAAGTGCAATGCACTGTTATGCAGATTAGATTGAATATCTGTGGCTCAGTGTAGATTAACCTGAATTGGCTGTGTGCTGCCTCTAGACATTTGGATGGCTCTGTGAAGAAATGTCATGCCAAGGTTTTAGGCGTCAGCCCCTTTGCTTACCAGCTGTGTTTTATTCGGTGTTTGCTGACGGAAGTCTACGATCCCTCAGAGGACCACGACAGCCGAACACCATCAGTGTATGGCTTGTGTAAGCAGTGGAGATTTGTTTGATGTGGAGCGATGTACAGGTCCTGGTGAGCTTGCATCAGTCGCTGACTGACAAGGAGTCTCAGTCCCTCTTTACGGTGCACTTCAGAAGCCTCCTACCCACCCATCGACCTGCCCGCTGACTTGCTTTTTATGCTTTGTGGATTAGTGATGGATCTTTGGCAGGATCAGTGTTTGGTAAGGTACAGCGGCTGCCCTAAAGAGAGACAAACGGAGGCTAGTGGTTTGGCCTCCGACAGTCTCCGTGCACGTTTGATCACAGCCGTGTGTTATCAGCGCACCCTGATCTGCCAACCACACTCAACTTCTGCCTCCTTGCTTTGTGTTTTTCCCTCCTGATCAATACATTAACCTTTTTCATCCTTAAACCCCTCCCCTCTTTAGGTTTCACTTTAAATCATTGTCAGCTGGTTCTCCACAATCTCTCTGTTTCCCTGGCTCTTTCTCTCTCTGTCGTTGCCTCCTTGGTTTCTACTCTTTCACACACGGTGTGGTAGTTGCATCGACTTCACCAAGTCTCCTTTAATCTCTCTACTCCTCCTCCTCTGTGGAAATGAAAAGGGTGAATAAACCCCGTCAGCTTATATGTTTTTTTCAGCATGGGCGCTGATCTGTTTTCAACCCTCTTCAGGCATTCTTTGGCTTGGATCATTTCTTCTTTCTCTCTATTCCCCTTAATCACTACTGTGCCTTTTTTCCTCCTGATGTTTTATACCTTGTCCTACCTCCTGCGCCCACTTTACCACTCCTCTCGCTCCATCACTTTACCCTCCACATGTCTCCTAATCTCTGTCATCATGTGCCTTCTTGCCTTGCTGTCTCTTCCTTTTTTCATCCTCCCCATCTTGTTCCCCACTGCGACAGATCAATGGTCTCTTACCCATCCCCCACCGTCAAATCCCCCCATCATATCTTTTGAACAAGTGCTGATTAATGACATACACAGACTGATGAATAGTTCACCAGAGAGAGCGAGGAAGGAGAAGGTGGGAGACGGAGAGAAGGTAGGGGTGATGAACAAAGAGACAGTTGCTGAGGAGAGGTACAAAGTCAGAAATAAGAAATGACAGCAAGGAATGGGGGGGTGTTTGAGGGGATTATATGGCAGAGCAAATGAAAGAGGAAGACAAGGAGGGCAGGTGGAGACAGAGGGTGAAGTGAGTTCCAGAGGAAAAACCCCAGGGCTTAAGGGCTGGCTGTTGTTTCAAACAAAAAACTTTAAATGGATTAAGATCATTTTAATATTCATTGCATATTCTATATACAATCCTGTATATTCTGTGAACCATATAAAGAACCACAAAAGTTCTGGAGCTGTGGAGCTGATGTCAACTTTCTTCCATTTCTGCTCTCTTTGACTGAGACTGTTGCTGAAACTGCCCAGCAGTCTGGCGCTGAAGGGGCGCTTTTATAAAAAATAATTCTGTACGCTTTTTCATTAGGATGAGTCATACTCTCTCGAGTACCCACATCCTCACCCCCACATATCCACATAGCCTTCCCCCACCCCCACCCCACCCCTCATACAAAATCCTTGAGCCGTCACAGATTAAACAGCTCATAACCATGAGAAAATGCAGGATGCCACAGCATAGAGGTCCCCACAGCCTCACCCCCACATACCCGCATAGCCTTCCCCCACCCCCACCCCGCCCCTCATACAAAATCCTTGAGCCGTCACAGATTAAACAGCTCATAACCATGAGAAAATGCAGGATGCCACAGCATAGAGACATCACTGTGGGTGTTGATGGGTTTTTTTTATTGTTTGCCAACCCTCCACTCTGCATCGCCTCCTCTTCTCCCCTAAGAATATCCTCTCTGCCAACATTTTCCCCCATTTTAAGCTCAGGATTCAAATGTGGGATACAAGCTTCAGGGGATGTTGCATATCAATTTACACCTGTGGCGGGTTCCCTCTCTTGCTCCATGATGACTGATTTGTACATGTAATGATGCTGGTAATGGTGTGTGTGAAGGACATGTAGAGAATGATACAGTGACTTACTGTTGATTTAATAGGTGTAAAATGTATCAGTGTGTTGTTTATGAGCCTTGCTAGCAGTACACTACTGACCTTTTCGTCATTGACCACTGTGTTAGTAACCTATGAACTCTTATTGAGTGGAATGCCATGACATGTGTAAAACACCCGTTAAGATCAGCTGCACTTTGTGTTTATGGCTAATTAACAAACATTAGCATGCTACAATGCCAAACTGGTAAACACAGTGAGCTTTATACCTGATAAACATCATATTAGCATTGCAGTGCGGTTAGCATTGAGCTCAATGCACATCATTGTGTAAGTATCCTCACAGAATTGCTAGTGCGGCTGCAGTCTCCTTAAAACTATATTCTTTATAGTTTTCCTTGAATGAGTTTTGTTTGTCTCCTTTCTGTTTGTTGAATCTTTTGTTTTTTCCCTCTCTCTACCTGCTTCTCTTTCCACTGAAGAGATCTCTGTCAGTCTGCTGTCAGTCATTGTGACGTTCTGCGGTATCGTCCTCCTCTCCGTCTCCCTCTTCGTCTCTTGGAAACTATGCTGGCTCCCATGGCGGGACAAAGAAGGCGGAGGCCTGAGCCTGACATCGGGATTGCTACCCGGAAGCGCTGGCATCGGAAGCCTTGCAGGCGCTGGGGGATCTCTAATACCCCCGTTGCTTCAGAGGAAGGAGGGCCATTCTTCATCCTCACTTTACCCCTCCCTGGGCCAGCAGGGCCAGCACCACCCCCACTTCTCTGAGCTGGTGGGACTGGAGAGAGGGGAGATGGGAGGTGTGGTTGGCGGGCCACATGAGACCCAGGAGCACTCATACCTGGACATGGACTCCTATCCCAACAATGCTGGTGAGAGAAACATTAGACACTCTTAACCCCAGTCTGTAGAAGTAATGTAATGCCCTATTTTAATATACTCACAGTATTGAATTCAATACATTTACCTGCATACAGTAAAAGTAATTTATCTGTGCTGCACCTGTGTGATAAATGCTGACTGTTATTGTTCATATAAATGGGTTTTCTTTCAATAGAGCTGCATTTAAGGAATATTACTTTTCATCTTGCTGGCCTAGTCTCTTATTACAGGTACTTAGTTATACAGTAGGAGACAAGGAAAATGGCTACAACTGTCTTTGATCTGAATTTTTAATTACAACAAATATCACTTGCAATTAATTAAAAATTATTAATTTGTTGCATTAATAAGATTTTGGCAACATGGTGCAGAGGGAAGAGTTAAGAGACACACAGAATGACATATAATAAGGTTTTTACTGCAACCAAAAGACCACTGGAGTTTGTTTATGACAACATGAGGAACACAGTTTTCTTTTTGCCTTGTTTTGTTCTCTGTTAAATCCTGAGAAAATGTAGTTCTTCAGCTGCTAAGTGTTCAGCTTTCTTCATCAGTTAGTTTCATCAGAGCATTACAGACAGCAGCAGTAACAGCAGCTTATGCTGCTGCTGGAGACAAGGTTGATGCAAGCAGTGAAACTGAAAGTGAATGGTAAATGCACCATAAAAATAAGCTCAGAAATTTGCAAAAGCAGCACGTTCAAAATTCTATATGGGTTTCTTAGTACGTGTTACACATAGACATTTGATTTAATCTTCAAATATAAAAAATAAATACACAAATAAGAGCTGCAACAGTTAGTTGATTAGGTGATTGACAGAAAGTGAATCTACTTTGATGATCAAAAACACCAAACATTAGATGGTTCCTGCTTTTCAAATAGAAGACCTCGCTGCTTTTCTTTGTTTTGTTTTGGGTTTTTTTTTTTACATAAAGATGAAATTAATGTTACCGACTTTATGGACCGTTTCATGAATTAAACCAGAGATGGGAGAACATCACTTTGAGCTTTTTTTTCTCACATTCACCTGGTTTTTTTGTACTTTTCTGATGTTTAAAAGACCAAACATTTAATTGACTAAATAATCAGCAGATAAATGAATTGATTGTTGCCATAGCTTTAGCCCTAACACAAATAGACACAAAGATATTGATTAATGTAGCTTTTAAAGATCCCAGAAACATTTTATTGTTAAGCAGCAACAAAACAACAGTTTTAAACAGATGTGAGATATTAAAGACCTGATTTTATAAAACAGCTCAGGTTGTATTTACGCTGTCACCATCAATGTCTATCATTATACACAGTCAAATGTTTTCAGCTGCTGCTGAATGCACCCTCTTTCACACCTCTGGGATGTTTACCGTTCACACTGGCTCATGATCTGCAACCGTAAATATGTGTGCTCATTTCTGCTGTTAAAGCAGCATAAGACAATCTGTGCAATCAGTGCTGATGATCACTGATTCTCTTGCATTACAGGGCAATAAAGCTCGTGATTCATTGTGGATTGTTCTGTCCATTTCCTCACTCTGATAGGAACTCTGAAGCTGAGTCAAACATCTCCCGATGTCCCTAACTCAGAGGGTGGGGCCCATCCCCATAAAGACCTTCCCAATGCTCATTCCCAGCAGCAGGTCACCTCACGGTCAGTCCCAAATGGATGACTGTACTGGGCGTGTGTGTACATTTACATGAATCAGTATTTTTTTATCACTGTGCATTGTGATCATTAAAACTGACTGAAAAACATGATTGAAATTAGGAAAAGGCTGACTCCGCCTGGAAAAGTGTTGTTTTTGGAGCATGCTGATAGAAACCACATTAGTTTAGAAGATGTTGGCTTTAATCTTGCCTATAATGAGCACTTAGACTTCTTTTGAACCTCTGGGTAATAGTTTCATTTTTTTAAACTGAGACTGATATTAATAGATTTTTCCAAAGATAAGAATTCTACATAAACACACAAGACTCACACAGCACATTTCTCTGTTTCGAACTGATATTAATTAGTCTTTTTTTGTACTTAAGAAGCATCATCATCTTAATAATACATACTGTTAAGCATTGAAATTCATTCTTATGCGTCTGTTTAGGCCCAAGCCCATGACTCACCAGCTCTCCAGTCCTGATTTCCATGGTGAGGAGAAGGAGCAGGTAACCAGCATTGGGCAGATAAAACCAGAGCTCTACAGACCCAAGGGTGACCAGGGCGAAGGCAAACAGGGCGACACCTGTGGCAAGATCAGCTTCCTCCTGCGCTACGCCTTCAAGTAAGTCAGCAAGTTGACACTGAAACAACCTACTCTATCAGTGTCCTCTTATGTAAGAAGTGTAGAATTTTAGCCTTAATAAATCACTGCCAGAAATCATTTCAAGCTATATAAAGTTTAACCCTAAACAATGATCCCCAACATTTGTGTGGAGCAATTGACTTGATTCTGCTTTGATCAAAGTAGTGCAAAAAAACCTTTTCTATAGCAGTTGTCCTCTTTTTTTTCTGCTGGACCTGAATTCACAAAAACAATGCTTCGTTCAAATTTTTAAGACTTTAAGTCTCAAAACTATAAATTGTTACCACAAGCCACCACAGACCTTTACCTTTGTTTTTGAGAAATAGCATTTTGTTCATAAATTTGGCACAGCAGATGGTCTAAATACTACAATATACCCACGAGCCTCGGCCGCCACTGATGAAGAGGCCAGTCAGAGGAGTGAATCAGAGCGTTATGGAAATTAAAATGCTTTGTAATTACATTTGAGAAAAAAAACAGCGTTATAGTTGCTGAATGGCCCACGTTCAGAATGAATTTCAAAGTTGTGAAAAAACGCAGCTCTCCCTGTTCATTTCTATGGGGGACTGCAGCCACTGCAGCCTGAACCAGCACTGTAAGGGCCTCCAGCATTAGACTTTTTTGATATTATCCGGCAAAGGTGTTGCATTGACCAATCACGTATGGGGGACGGTCAGAATGTGGACACCCAGAGGAAGAAGTTTCTTTTGTTGACCTTGTTAGCATAAGCATTCATTGCTATTTACTCCCAGATTTGGGCCACAGTTAACACATTGTAATGACACACATGCGCTCTCATTAGTTAGGATACTGGATGTTAAACTGTCCTTTTTAATCTATCAATGCCAACACACTGGTGGTAGAACTGGTGCTAAGGTAGATTAGGCTACGTTAGCAGAATGGCTAAACCCCCCCCACCCCCCTGTGTTGTTTTATCACAGTCCGTCTGAATGTTGCTAATGGCACACCAGTGTTCTTTTTACACAGGCATCCCGGTATTAGAGACATGATGTTTAACGAGATATCCACCATATATATAACCATGCATATAACAAACATGTTGTTTTTGTTCATCCTGCACATTTACGACGTGATTCAGACTTATATAGTTGTTGTGCATAGTGCACAAATGTAATGATTATAGTCACAGATTCTGTTTCTTGTGAGCAATGCCAAAGTTGACATCCTCCAGTGATGGGTTGCAGAAACAACACTTCATTCAAATTTCCACTCACCTCCAACCAAGCGGCTTCTGTCCTTCTACACACAAGCCAAGGTGGAATGGTTGCACTAATTTTACTACCTCTCATGGCAGAATAAAGGAGGGTCAACACTGACCTCCGCACGCTGGCTTTTATACAGAATAGAGTGGTGGGAAATTGGCGCAATAATCTCGATTTGAATGAGCAGCATAAAAGGGACTTCAGAGGGCTGCAAGATGACGCTGCGTTGTTGAATTTCTTCATGGCACAAACCCAGGACAAAGCACTTCTTGGGAAAATATCTTTCAGCATATTTATCCCCTGAAGTAGACACAAAAGGAAAACCAGACAACAACACAGTCAAAACTTGAGTTTGGTCACTGTCACAAACTCTGGGGTTTATCTTTATTCTAAAACCTCACTTTGCCTCTAGCATGAAATGTGAGATTATCTCAACTGTAGAAATATTAATATTAATTAAATAAGAAATAAGAAAGTAGTACCATTAAATATAAGTGACAACACAGCGTGTGCATTTTTAATGTACCATGTGGCTTAGTTTGCTGTAGTTACTTTCATTTTGGAGAATTTAGCTCTAAGTACGTAATTGGTGGGTTCCATGCTGTGAGGGTGTAGGCTATACATGAATGTGTGTGTGTGACTGTGGGTTGTGGGGAGGAGTGTGCAGCTCACTGTGTGCTGTTCAGCTGGCAGTCGCCCCATCTTGGCCTGCCCCAACATGTAGAAACATTACAATGGGTGAAAGTGCTGCTGGTCAGAAAGAAAGGGAGCGAGAGGCTGTTTCAGTCCTGAATTATATATGGTGAACCACTTAAAACAGCAGCCCCTGTCAACACATAATAACACTGGATTGTGTTATAGCCAGAGTTACTGATACAGAGAATTAAATTAGCAAGGGACTGAATGGAGAGGCAGGTTAATGATGAAAATTATTCATGTGTCCCTTTTGCCCATTTTTATACTCACAAGATAATATAAGTCGTACTGTAGTTGTCTGTCATTACACTGGAGGGAAGTAGTTTTAGTGAGAGGAGCAGCAGAGAGGGAACGACTGAGCAATAAAGAAGAAAGGTTAGAGATGTAGCTGCAAGACGAGTGGTGATGTGTGTAGATGCACACACGTAGAGGTGTTTTAGCGCTGGATCTGGGATCAGATCAGTATGTTAATGTGTGAGATCCTGCTGTTTGGAGCGTAACAGTCAGAACAACAATGTCAATCTTCTCTAGATCCTCTGGGAAAGGTATTTCTATTGACAATCCCATTAAAAGCTGACACATTTCCACAGTGGGAATAACAGCTAGCTTTCGGGCATTGTCTGCCAGGAAAAAGGCCGTGAATTTCATTCTGTGCTCAAGCAGCAGCCGGTACTGTATATTCTCTGCAGCATGCCTAGGGGACTGTGTAAAAACCTTGATTTTGGTTCAGCCTCATGTTTTGTTCTGTAATAAGACACGTGAGCACTGGAATTTTTTTGGGCACAGGCTTCCTGTCCTTTTCCATTATTGTCCATCTGAACATTGCTGTGAACCACACTGGTTAATCACAGTGACTCTGGAGTCTCTACTGCCATTATGTCACAAAATCATACCGGATTAAATGATCATTAGATGTATGTTTGAATTGGTCAGGGTTAAAATGTTTGTCTGGCTGATCTGGAAATGTAATTAATGCCCTGTATCTTGTGTCCCTGATCTGACATGATTGCAGAGTGAACATGTTTATCTGATTGCCTTAATTGGATGTGATTCAGAGGTAAACACATGCCCTGATTGGCCACAGCTGTATTGTCAACAAGCGTATCTTATTTGTCATTGGTACACATGGACAGAAGACATTATAACTGCTGGAGTCACTGTTGGTATTTGTCCTTCTGATCCTTCCTCAGCCCCAAAGTTCATGCTGCTCTGCTTAAAGTAGCTAATGAAGTGTTAACGTGCTAGTTAGCACAGGGAGACACAGCCTAATGAGGTCTGATTAAAGACCTCCAAGCCGTCTTCATCTTCATCTGGTAATTAAATGCATAACAAACGGTGCATGAGACACAGCCGTGACTGTGGATGGAGCAGTGGAATGTAAAGGTGTGCGCTCACGCTCGCTTCTTTGTGTGTGTGACAAATAAAGACTGCCTACAGCCATACAGTTTTGCTTACATGTGCATTTGTGACTGGGTGTCTGCTTGGGTTCTTGATAAGAGGGCCAGTAACGCTGTATTTGAAACATTGTTGATATACTCCCCCTCCTTTTTTTTGTAATTACATGTACTGTCTGTTATACAATTTAAAGCAAAAAAAAAAAAAAATGTATATATATATATACACACATACACACTATACTGTATAAGTGTGTATATTCTTCTCGTTTTGGCATTTTATTCTTTAAAGTAAAATAGCACAATGATTCGATTTTGATTTGACCACCAATGTAATTACATATTTTCATACATAACTGATGAGTTTGATTTATCATTACTGCAGAGCTGAAACAAGTAGTCAAACTGCAGAAAAATGTTTGAGTGTTAATTAAACAAAAGTCCAAAAAAATCCACGTCACATCTGAATATTGCCTGCGTTCTCGGTTTTACAGTATATCAAAGTGACCTAACAACCTGTGGGTTGTGGCAGCACAAAGCAACACATTTGGAGAGGGCACACAAGGAAACGTTTTATTTACATTTTTAGGACCAAACAATTAGTTGATTCATTCATTCATTCATTAAACCAGTCTTTAACTGTATCAGAAGGTATTAATTAATCAGATTTAGATGTTTAATAATTATCTCTGCAATGCTGTCAATCAATTTGGAAGCAATAGCAACATCCAACTGTATTTTAAATTTTGGTGTTGGGGGCTACACCACTGTTTCCATCAGGACTAGAGTTTGCCTTTAAGTATTAAAGAACAGAACAACATTTTATTTATTCTGTATGTTACGTGAACTTAAATCTAAATGCTGCTTGTGGTGTACAGACTTCCAATAGACCAGCGGTTTCCAGTTTTTAACCCTATAATACTGTGACCTCTCAGGTTTCATATTATTTCAGCTGAATCATTTGAGAGTACTTAAAATGGTAAGATTTTGTTGCATTTTAGAAAAATTTGATTATATATATTTTTAAAAAGAGTAAAAAAAAACAAGCATAAATTGTATTTTGCTTGTATTATTTTCTACACTAATGAATGCTGATTTAAATCTACTAGAAATATGCAGTCAGTCAAACAAATGTATTCAAACAGCATCGATGTCAACACAGTGCCAGTATTTATTTATTTATTTTTTGCTTGCAGATTGTGTGGGTAACAGCTCTGTATGCGTGGCCCAAAGTGAGTATAGATTAAAGGGTCTGTGATAAGAATAATTAATGACCTTGGCTTTAGCCAGATAGTCTCTCAGTGGCTGTACATCTGTGTTTACACTTAAAATCACTGTATCCATGAAACAACTACAAGGATGGCACGCACACATACACACACACATCGTCTATGTCTATCTTTGTGAAGACACTCATTGACCTAATGCATTCCCTAGCCCCTTACCCTAACACTTAACCATCAGAACTAAAACCCTCATCAGAACTAAATGCCTAAACCTAACTCTAGCCCGAACACTAAACCTAAATCTAACCGGAACCCTAAAAAATGTCTTCAAAAACTGAGGACTGGCCAAAATGTCCTTACTTTCCAAAAATGTCCTCACTCTGAAGCAAAACAAAAAAAAGAACACACACACACACACACACACTCACACATACATATACTATTCTGGCTGTTCCTTGCTGCAGAGCCTCCCACACCATTATGTGCATACAAAGCCTCACACAGGTGCTTTTTGTGTGTGGGTTGCTCCTGTCTGAGTCTCACACAGTATTTGTGTAAATTTGTGCGACCCCTGCCTTTTAAGGCTTTTTTTATGAGCATGTGAAAGCCTAAAAGATGAATAATAAATATCTGTGTGTGTGTGTGTGTGTGTGTGTTTCAGCACGGAGCAGCTGGTGGTGAAGATCCTGAAAGCTTTGGACCTGCCAGCGAAGGACGCCAACGGCTTCTCTGACCCGTACGTGAAGATCTACCTACTGCCAGACAGGAAGAAGAAATTCCAGACTAAGGTAGCTTCCACTCCCACAGCCATAGTGCTCACCTGTATGCTCACAACTACATTTCAGTTTTATTTGTTGTGAAAACAACATAAAAACACTACACCCTTCAGCCATCATTAGCTCTGACTTACTGTTTGCTTTCTGCCTGTTTCCTGCTGCTGTAATGACCCAGCCTCCTCCTGGGGAATCGTTACAGTTTCTGTAATGTAATCTAATCTAATTTATTCAAGATAATGCGCTGCAGACTATTACACAGCACCGCTACTCAACTCCTGTGTATTATTCTGACGTGTGACAGTTGAGTCAATATTTGAGTACATTTTGGGAGGTTCTATACCAGGAACCGTGCCCTTAGCCCTCAAAAGGTTCTTCTAATTTATTCTCTGAGGGGAAACTCGCCACTTACTGTATGAACTTAGTGTTCTCTCAAATGTGACTTTTAGTTCAGTTTTATATCCAGAAATATCACCAGTAACGTTGGGATAAAACAGAGAGAAATTGTGAAGCTGGAAAGAGTCTGGAAAGTGTGAAAAGTAAGCTTTCAGTGACAATGAAGCTGTACAAGTTTGAAATGTCTTCTTTTTGGTTTCCTCCCCTTGTGTAGCTGTCGCCTGCATATCACAAAAGCCCTCTCAGCTACTGAAAAGCATGAATGCTTTAGTCATTTGCATAATACGACTCCTCTTTTGTTTGGACTGTAGATGATTGTTTAATTTCAATCACATCCCTATTAGCATGGAATTTTTACTACACGCTAATTGTGCCATGCTTTTGTTTCAAAAACAAAACAGACATCACCTACAAGCAGACATTAGAGCTCTGTTTCTGGTTTCACTGGGCACGGCGTCTCCATCAGCTGTGTGTTTAATCCAAAGCTAATAAGTAATCATCAAGCGCTAATAAGCCGGAGTGACAGACACACTCATGCAGTGACAAAAGTTGGATTTGCAAAATTGAGTGTGTTTCAGATTTTAATTATCACCAGCTTACTGCATGACAGCATTTATTTCAGATGCTTTAATGACAAATAAATCCCACCAGCAAATCTAAAATAGTACAGTTTTGTCTTGGAGACTGAAAAAGACTGAAGACAATTTACAAATGTCATCTGCAATGTGCTAAAAAAAAAAAAAAGATGAGCAGGAAATTACAGCTGCTCTCTTTCCACCAGACTGCTTTTTTATGATCAGTTTTATGTGACTTGTTATGGTGTTAACCAATGGAAAAGGCAGAAAACACAACATGCATTAGAGGTGAACTCATTTGGAATAAGCACAGATTATTGTGTAGTAAACATTTAAAAAAGAGGGCACACTTAGGCATGTTTGGGAGCAACATATTGTGTTTTAAATTTTGTTGTAGGCCTTTATTTCATTCAGCCAGTTTGATTTCATCTTTCATTGCACAAGTAACAGTAAAATTCACTTTTCTCCCTCCGGCTGAGAAACAAGGTCAGCCAGCGTGGTGGAGGTTAATTACACTGCCCACGGCCATTTCGGCGAGTGTTGCCACACTATTAATCAGACCACTTCTGGAATATTCTGGGTCCTCATATCTCATGTTTTCGAAGCAATGTAGATTAGTTTAAAATACTGATACCTGGCATTTTCATGCAATAATGCTAGTGTTGCTGCTTTCGACACAAAGGGTATACACCTGTATACACCTACAGGCAGGTAATCAAAGCTTTTATATTCACAGCAAGTCTGTGGTAGCTCTTTTCGGTGAAAAAATAAACCCTTTTTGGTTCACAGGGAGCGATTGCCTTTTATGTTTTCAGTTTGCTTTGGATGAAACAGAAGAGGCCAGGTGGTTTGCTGAGCAAAAGCAGGCAAAAAAGGAACAGGCCAAAACTGAAATACAAGGATAAAGATTCAGACACAACAAACAGCAACGAGAGTTACTTAAAAAAAAGTGTAACTGTGGAGATTACTGCTTTGAAACAAAAGTATTTTGACCAAGTATAGTTCTGTTTGTTGCCTCTCAGGGCTGTATTCACATGACAGCACTTATTGTGTCTGTGTTATGTGAAGACTGTCTTGTCTGTTTAGCCTTTGAGGATTCTGGATGCATCTTCAGAACAGTGTTGAATCTTGAATTTATCTGTCAGTGGATCAGTGCAAAAGTCTCGAATGTAAAAACATGACACAAACAAGGATTAAAATAAATGTGGTAACACTTTAGATTACAGCCCATAATTTACTATTTATCTTATTATTCAACATATCCAGGATATCAATAAAACACTTAGACAAATATACAAGTACAGGTAAATAACATGAGAGGTTTGAGAATAATGGGATAAACACTAAAATACATAGATTGTGAACTTTTTTTAGTTTGTTTGTTTATTTTTTTGTTTTTCTGAGTTAGCCCATAGCTGTCGCAGACTACAGTGACTCTGTTACTGCTTAACAAGGCGGGAAACGTGCTGACAGTGAACTTAATTATGGTGTAGTTTATTCAGACATTATGACATATTGAAAAAAACACTTTTGGAGATTACATTGGAAAAACACTGAGAAGCTATTATTATTAATATATTGTACAGTTCTGGGGACCAAAACGTGACGCTGAACCCAAGCTATAGCTTTTAAATGTGCATGTGTATTTAGAATGAGGACAATATATAAGGAAACTAAATCACCCTAATTTTATTCATAAAATCAGATTAGAAATAATTAAAAAGCCAAACACACATGAATAAGTGCAATCATAAATTCTAACTCTGTCTGTCCTTCTCACAGGTTCACAGAAAGACCTTAAACCCCGTGTTCAACGAGACGTTCCAGTTCGGCGTGCCGCTGAATGAGCTACATTCCAGGAAGCTGCATTTTTCTGTGTACGACTTTGACCGCTTCTCCAGACACGACCTGATCGGCCAGGTAGTGGTGGATAACCTGCTGGACTTCAGCGAGGGCAGCGGGGAGACGCCCATCTGGAGGGACATAGTGGAGGGCACTGCGGTAAGGATGCTGCTCTACTGCGGAAGTGACTCAAAACAATCACACTGATTTGGAAGAGATGCCCACTTTAGATACAGTTAGCTAAAATTTGACGCAGCCTTGTGGTGATATACATTAGGGCTGCTATAGCTTTAAATTATGGGACAAAGCTGTGATAACAGGAGTGAGGAATGGAGCATATTGAACACGATACGTTTTATTCAGTTTGCAGATGTGAAGTGAAATGAAGAAAAGCTACAATGATAATTTGAATCTATGTAACATAAGCAGCTGAATATTTCTGAA